CCTGTGCAGTCTGAAGAACTGTGAGCCAATTAAACCTCTTTTCTTTATAAATCACCCAGTATCAGGTATTTCTTTATAGCAATGTGAGAACAGACTAATATGCACATTATGAAGACTATTTCACCTAGAAGTTACTTCAAAATTATTGGATAGGTGGTACTGACTTCTAATGATATGTCTAGCTATTCTCAGCCAGTGTTGTTGAGAGTACCCAAGTCATCCAATTTAGTTGAGTCCGCGGGAATTATAGAGGGAATCTCAGTAAATCAAAGAATCTCCACTTTGAAAGGGATACTCGGATCATCTAGCTCAATTCCCAGTATTCTAACTGGAAATACATAGGCCAATTATCTAATATTTCCTTTTCATCTCTGGGCATGTTTGAATCCTGATCATCAAAAAGCCACCAGTTCCGTCTTTCTCCTTTGGTAGTCTTAAATAATCTTTAAATCTAACTTTGGACACCCTTAAAGATGCTTTCAAATTATTTTTGACCACCTTATTTCTAACGAGTAAGTTTATCTTCCTATAGAACTCACAGAGTACAGTTGTAAAATATGTGAAGCAATAATAGAACTAAAAGGAAAAATAGACAAATCTGCAATTTTAGTTGGAGACTTCAACACCCCTATCTCAACAGTTGATAGGACAACTGAACAGAAGGTCAGAAAAAAATATAGAAGTGATCTACAGAAGAAGCAGAATTGGAAAACAAGTAAAAAAAGAAAAAAAAGAAAATATATGGAAGTGATTATTTTACACATGTATGAAGAACTGACATTTTAGAAATAATCTTTGGACTTTTAGAAATATTTGATTTTATAGCTATTGCCTGAATGTTATTTTGACTTCCAAAAGATCTCACAGGCCGGGATTGGTGGCTCATGCCTGTAATCCCAACACTTTGGGAGGCCGAGGTGGGTGAATCACCTGAGGTCAGGAGTTTAAGACCAGCCTGGCCAACATGGCAAAACCCCATCTCTACTAAAAATACAAAAATTAGCCGGTGTGTGGTGGCATCTGCCTGTAGTCCAAGCTACTTGGGAGGCTGAGGCAGAAGAATCATTTGATGCAGTGAGCCAAGATTGCACCACTATAGTCCAGCCTGGGTGACAAATCGAGACTCAGTCCCCGCCCCCAAAAAAAGACCTCACAAATTTGCTTTAGTCTTGTTTTTAGCAATGTTCTCAGTGCCTTAGATTTATTTATCCATTTAGTTATTCAACAAATATTAATGCCTACTATAAGCAAGCCATTGCACTGGGCATTACAATTGATTTTATTGTTTTTGAAATGTTTAATAAGTAAATTCTATATAGAAGAAACTAACAATAGTACATGGTATAAATAAAATAAACTGTTTAAAAAAGCTTTAGGACTATATTTGTCTGATTGAGCTGCCATAACAAAATACTACAGACAGGGTAGTTTAAACAACAGAAATGTTCTTACAGTTCTGAACATTGGGAGTCCCAGTCCAACGTATAAGCAGGGTTGACATCTGGTAAGGCTCCTCTTTGGTTTAAAGACAGTCCTTCTTAGTATGTCCTCACATAGCCTATCCTCTGAGTGCATGCAGAGAGACAGATTTCTTCTTACAAAGCCATCAGTCCTATCAGATTAGGGCCCCACATTTATGATCTCTTTTAACCTTAAAACCCATCTCCAAACATAGTCACATTGGAGGTTAGGGCTTCAACACACAAATTTGGAAGAGGACACAACTTAGCCCACAGCAAGAACTAAATCAATCAGCAAGCATCCTTTACTTCTTTCAGAGGTTCTTCTCTGGAGAGAATTATGGAATTGTAGTTCTCACCAGCACCCCATTGTTATATGTAAGAAAAAAACACAATTTGGAGAGTGAAAATGGCTTTCCTGGATCACAGAGTACATGGGAACAGAGAAAGTAGCAAAACCCAAGTCTCCAGTGCACTGTCCTTTTGGTCTGGCGTTGGATCAGAGTTATTGCTCCACAGCATACAATGAAGCTACAGCTAGCTTTAGTAGATGTTTCTACCATGCAGTCTCTTCCTATGGTCTCTTCCTATTAATCCTCTTCCCAGATCTCCCCCCTCAAATTTACCAAAATATCACACCGGAGCTCCTAACCAAAATCTTTTGCCCAAGAATCCAAAGCTGGCTTTCTCTTGTGAGTCCTGAGTTTATCAGAATCATCTTAGGGATTTTATTATCCTTCATAATACAGGCCCAGTATGATCTGAATATAGACACTATATAATCCTCTGCCATCAGGGCCAACAGATAAATGACTCCCCTCTCTGTACCATCTCTGTCATTTGGTGAGGATCATTTTTGGATTAGAGAAGGTTCATCGAGGTCATTGCTTCTTCCAGATTGTGAGCCATCATCCCATCAATATGAAATGTAGTTGCATTTTCATCCAGCACCCCCAGCTCTCTCTTCTCATGAGTTGAGGACTGATGTGCTACAGAAGACCTTGAAAAATGACTAGTTAACCTAGTCAACCCATCAATCTCTCTGGCTCAGTCTTTCCCACTCACAGAAGACAAACGCCTTCTCTGAGGGCCAGGACTTTGTTTATACTCAAAACAGGGGTTTTGTTTTGTTTTTTGGGTTTTTTTTTTTTTTGAGACACAGTCGAGTCTCACTCTGTCACCCATGCTCAAGTGCAGTGGTGAGGTCTTGGCACACTGGAACCTCCATCTCCCGGATTCAAATGATTCTCCTGCCTCAGCCTCCTGAGTAGCTGGGATTACAGTCATTTTTGTATTTTTAGTAAACATGGGGTTTCACTATGTTTGCCAGGCTGGTCTTGAACTCCTGACCTCATAATCCATCTGCTTGACCTCTCAAAGTGCTGGGATTACAGGTGTGAGCCACCACACCTGGCCTTACAACAGATATTTTAATATCAGGCAGATGAACAAACCCAGTCCAACAAACCAGGCAGCAAATCCCCTGCTACTGGGATGTCTCTCTTGCTCTCTCTTTACTTTCTTTCTCTTTCTTCTTTCTTCTTTTTTCTTGATCACCTTTTCCTTAGATCTGTAAATCCTTGGACTTGTACTAATTAATCGTTCTTGCTATTTAGCAATTGGCATTGTCACTACCACATATGGCCCAAGATGGCAGACTTTAATTGACTAATTGGTTGGTTGACTGGGTGGACTTTTCTGAGTATGATGTTTGGTTTATCAATACAAGAATCACAGTACCTCTGGGTTGGGTGTGCTGATTGTTAAACCCTAACTGCATATTAGAAGAACTTTTATAAAATACAAATGTCTGGGCCCCACCTTCACAGATTCTGATTTAATTTGGTCTTTGTCTCAAAGGTTCTCCATGTTATTCTCATGGGTGGCCAGGATTGAGAATCTCTGGATTGAGCTAAAAGGTTACCCAGACAACCATTGATCTGATACGTAAATCCCTTCTACTGGGATATCTAGAAAGATGACTCTTTCTGGATTTTCTTTTTGAAACTAAGATTCTAGGTAGTATTGTCTTCTTGACAATCTTCCTGGGTATAAAAACTCCGCTCTGTTATTATAGAATGAAGCAGCAGGTAATGGTTAGTGGTAGACCAGAAGTTCCCCTAAAAAATCCAACAGTGCTTAGCTGTGGCACTTCCTGATGTTAGGGAAATATCCTCCTAGGTCACTGGTTCTCACCTGGGGGAAAATCTCCCCCCAAGTGATGTTTGGCAATGTCTGGAGACATTTTTGGTTGTTAAGACTTGGTGGAATGCCACTGGAACCTAGTGGGGGAAAGGCCATGGATGATGCTAAGCATTGCACAATGCACCAAACACCTCCGAACAACAAAGAATTATTTGGTGCAAAATGTCAATCGTGCCAAGGTTGAGAAACTGTTTCCTAGATTCTTGCTCCCCATTACACCCATAAGAGATAGCACCCTTAATGGAATTCGTCCTAAAGCATTTCTTTCTTTCTGAAGCATGATTGTAGCACTGTTTCCCAAATCAACATTTTACATCCCTTTTAAGCATCTTAGAATGTGATCATCGTGCTTTACTTTGAAGCAATGAAGGCTGCTGCCTGACGGTGTTTGTCAAAGAGGCGGAATAATCCCAGGGCCGCCTTTTCCACTTGCTGCTTCCTTTCCCATCTGGCTGCCTTCCTGAAATACAGAATGAGCTGAGCCCTATGACCTGATGGAGGCCCTGCCAAGCCCACCTTGACCAGGTGCTGCAGCCAATGGAGCTGGTCCTCAGGGTGCAGGTCACTCCATGAAACGTGGCAGCTGGGCTTATCAGCTGCCAGCCTGGCTAGGTCAGGCCTGCTGCCAAGTTGATTAACAAATACTGGGCTGACACTTCAAGAAGGGCCTAAACTTGCTGATTTTCCTCTCTACTTCCTTAGATCACTTCATTATTAAATTAAAGATTGTTGTGATTTAAACTGAACTGTCAGGCAGCCTAGGGACAAACGTGGGGTTTTGTGAAGTAGCTGAACCTGGTACGGCATTTCCAAATCCAATCTCAGCTGGGTGCTCTTTCTTTCTCTTAAAAAAAAAATAATAATTTAAAACTGTAAAGGCTTGAAGTAGAAGTAGAACCTTCCCCTGCAGTGTCAGGAGCCCACACAGAGAGACTGGCATGCCAGGAAAGGGAGCTGATTATAAATAGCATAAAAAGTAGCATCAGTCAGAACTCACTGATGTGCCTGAGCAAAATATTAAAAGAAATAGCTTCCAAAGGAGGAAGCAATGGTTTTCTTTTATTTTTATAATTTAAAGTGCTAAGGAACAAAAGCAGTTTATATTCATATAGTTTTAAGCACACACACACACGTGTGCATGCACAAATAACATACACACTAACAGAGTCCCTTTAAGAAAATGATGGATAATCATTTTAAAATAACTAAATCACAAGTAGAGCCTCACAGAGGGAGCAGCTTTCCTTTCTCTTCTGTGTAATTGATTCTATTTATTTAGAAGGTCTATGGTTTCCCTTTGTGAAGTAATTTTTCTGTATGTGTATTTTTTTCCAGCTTAGATGGAAACCGTTTGAGATTCCAAAAGCATCTCAAAAGAAAGTGGACTTTGTGAGTGTAAGTCAGTCCTATCTACACCCTTCCTACTGCTCTTCTCTCTTCTGTGGTGAGTGAGCCAACCATATGCAGGCTGAATTCCAAGCAGAAGCAGCCCTATCAGAAGGCAACAGAGACAAAACCACCTGCATATGCTTTGGGGACTGGCAGAGGGATGTCTTACAGAAACCATATGGCCCCTGACACCAAAGGGTACTCATTAACTATTTATATCTCAGAAAGGCCAATGGCAATTGAACATTTTCCTACTTAAGCTCCTTTCTTTTGGCTAGAACAGGGGCTTTGAACCTTTTTGCTTGTTTTGATAGTCTGATGATGTCTTTGTTTATAAATGTATAAAATAAATTATATAAAATTACAAAGAAGCTAATGATATTGAAATATAATGACAAAAATACCATTAAAACCAAATTTGATTTGTAGTCATATATATGCTGTCTTGTTAATGTGCTAAATCATAATATCTATGGAAAACTTCTAATAATTATGGTATGAGCATAAATATACTTTGAGGTATTTATAACAGCTATAATGTGATATTCATTATTCTTATCATTGATAAAATTACAGACACCTCTTATCCTGCTATGGTTTGTTGACTACATTCATATTAGTTGAGGGAAATGATAAATTTCACTCAGAGATTAGCAAAAATAAATAGAAAATATTTCCCATCCAAGTTCATTATCTTCCTGAAGTAGACTGGGCTAGAATGGCATCAACTCAGCAAGGCAACTCTAGTTAGTGCAGTGCTGATTGGAAGCTCTGTTCAGTAGTTATAGGTCTAGGAGTACTGGAATAAATGCCCAGATTAAGGGGTATCTGGGAGAGAGGAGAAAGGAGCTCTAAGGAAGTGAGGCTCAAAGAAACCAGTGGAGGGTTCTGCAGACCTCAGCTCATGGCTTTCTTAGGGACAGTCCAAGTGCCTAACCATAGGACAAATTGTTGGAATCATCTTGAAGTTACATCTTTATTAAGTGCTCCAAACCCTGTGTAGACTCACTTAAATATACCCTAAACTTACAAATTGAGTTAAAATACAAAACTTTTGCCCCATCCCCTTTCTTGGGTGAACTGTGGATATCTGGAGGAGCAGAGCTCCCTCCTTTATGCTCTCCATCTGTAGGTTTGGGGCTGAGAACTGTTTTGAGAAGGGCCATGTGTTAAGGTTTCTTGCACTGTGGATCATCTGGTCACACAGAAGAGAGATTTGCAGTCTGTCAGAATGCAGTCCTCTGCCCTATTCCAGAGAGATTAGGCCAACCCTATTCATAAGCAGAGGGTTGCCTATAGTGGAGTGTACTTGAGGGGCCTTAACTGGTCCCTGATGCTGCAGCCTTCCTCCCTGAGCCTTGTAGATGCCTGATGGTACCTCCAACAGACTCTCTTCTTCCAGTTGATGTCAAGCATCAAACTGATAAAATATCAAGTAATGAACTGATGTTCTGTAAGTTCTGATATAGCCACTAAGACAACCCAGATTTAGGCCATGCCTGGATACTAGGGTAAACCACAAACTACGAAACATGAATCAGTAAATTCAGGCTCCTCAGAGGCTGCCTGGATTACAAATGTCCCACTGGTCCCAAAGGGAAGACCCTAGTAGAAATGTTCTTCATGACCATCAGGGACCAGTGGAAGGGCTGTCTCTTGGGCACCGTTCACATTAACCTTTTCCCTCTCCTGTGGCTCTCTTCCAGGGCCTGCACACCTTGTGTGGAGCTGGAGACATAAAGTCTAACAATGGGCTTGCTATCCATATTTTCCTCTGTAATACCTCCATGGAGAACAGGTAAGTGGCTAAGTTCTGGACTAGGACATGCCCATCCCTTAAGGGCTGTTGGCCAGAAGGTAAACTCCAGATCTCGCTCTTGTGAAGTCACATATGCACATACTTAGTTGTTTTTGTTATTGGGTTTTTCCTCAAGGCAATATTGATATGTATTTATTGACAACGATAATAAATGAGCCAAAAGGCATTTATCTTGACTGGCACCCATGATATAAACAAGAACATCCCATAACAATGTAAACAGAAAAGGGAGGATGGAGCTCTGGAATGTAGGAGTAGATTGAAAGTAGAGTAGATTTGAGTCCAAATATTGTTTTGTTGTTGTTTTTTAATACTTCAAGGATTTTTCTGAGCCAAATATGAGTGACCTCAGCCAAATATGATCTTGAGAATATGTGCCCAAGGTGGTTGGGCTACAGCTTGGTTTTATACATTTTAGGGAGACATAAGACATCAATCAATACATGTAGCGTGTACATTAGATGCAAACGGTGGTTTTTGTCTCAGTAGAAAAATAACAGCACATTTAAAGGAGAAAGAAAAGAAAACAGAGAAATAGAGAACTTAGGAACTCTGTAGTTGCAGGTCGACCTTTGGGCTTTGAATGATGTAATTTTCCCATCAGTTTAAAATGTGCACAACAGACTATAATATTTAACCAGCTGGAGTACTAGAAACCCTGGCATGCCCTTGAACTTTTCCATTTTACACAAACGCTTGCAAGTAGAGGCACCTTTCTCTGTGTCTTTCCTCATTCTTAGATTGTTTCCCACACTTTTTTTCTTAAAAGGAGGAACCGAACTGTAGCCTGGGAGTTGTTTGGGTGGTGGATCAGTGTACTGATTGTGGGCAGGACTCCACAGGGTTTCACCATGGAGTTATTTCCACCCTCTTATGTGTCTCAGTTTCTTTCTCCAGTGATCTAGCACCTCGGAGAGGCCTCAGAATGCCAAGTGATCAGCTATTATATGCATTTCCAGGACAAACCTTTTTAAACTATTTTTTGGGGGGGCGGAGGGTCCCTGTAGGGCCACTGCACATCACAGGGGATTAATCCCCCAAACACTGCAACTCAGCCCCTAAACACCCAAGGTGACTTTTAGCTGGAAGGAACAAAATGCCCTTTCTCTGTAAAAGTGACAGTTCAATTTCTCATGCAAATGCACAGACAAGCCAACTGAGCTAAATTTTGGGAGAAAAAAACAATGGAGAAGACTGTTTAGAATGCACCTCCAAACTGGAAACCAAAAGGGTACCCAAAAGGGGGTCATTCTTCTTGTCTTTAGAAAAAGACAATGGGGAAAATCCTTTAGAATGCATCTGTGAACTAGAATTAGGAACCTAAACAAGAACTTCCTAGGAGGAAAAAGAAAAAAGCTCAGAAAAAATCAAGGACCATCAACAAAACAGGGCTCATGGGGACTTAACAGTTCCATCAGAGGAGAAGACCGAAGTTGAAGGGGCTTTGATGAGCCCCTGCTGGCACCTTAGCTATGAGTTCAGGCAACTCCTTCAGGGTTCTGAGTATTCTCTGAGGCCTTTTGTGTCCAGGTGCCAAATTATTGTTGACAAAAAGAGTCAAACTATTAATATGTAAAATATTTGAGTTTATTTATTCTGAGCCAAATATAAGTGACCAGTAACCCATGACCTAGCCCTCAGGAGATCCTAAGAACATGTGCTCTTGAACATCTTTAATTTCTAAGGTTCTCCAGGGCTGTTCTTGAGTCCCAGGTCACTCTGTGTGAGTTTCCATTAGGACCACTCGTTAGTGGCAGGTCAAGCTAACAGACTTTGGATTCAGCTAATAGTTCTGTGTAAGCTTAAAATTCCTAAGTAGAGGAGCTTATAAACTGGCTTTGCAAAACAAATATGCAAATGGCATTCTTCTCTTATTCTATACTACCTCTGGAACTGGACCATTTGTGTCCAAAGCTCAACTCCACATTTTCTGGCTAGCAACCTGTGGTGTAAGACATTTAACTCCTGAGCCATGAATCAGGGGCAAGATCACACCCCCATGGCAAGGCTCTGAAGGCCTCTCTTTGGGTCAAATCTCATATAAGGCCACCTCCCCTGTCTCCATTTGAGCCGCACTGGCCTTCATTCACTTCCTTCAACCTGCCACATGCCCTCCTCCTTCTGAGCACTTGTACTTGCTGTTCCTTTTGCCTAGAACCTTCTTTCCTTTCTCCAAACCTCACCTAGATAACGCCTTCAGATCTCTGGTCAAATGTGTCCCTTCTTTGAAGAAGCCTTTGCTGATTCTTCAAACTAACCAAGTCCTTAGTCTTTCATTCCCTTGAACAGGGCCATTAAAATGATGATTTTGTTCTGCAGTTATTTGATTGCTGCAATGATTTTGTTCTGTAATTGTTTGATTGCTCTCTGACTCCCCACTAGACTCCAGGTTCCACAAGGGCAGAGCCTGAGTCATTTTGCTCCCCATTTTATACCCAGCTCTAAGCTTGGTACAGAGTAGGTACTAAACAATAATTTGTGTTATGAATTAATTTGTCTAGATAATGTTAAAACTGAAAATCACAGGAGTTACTCTGTATGTTTCAGATGCTTTTACAATTCAGATGGGGACTTCTTGATTGGTGAGTTCTGAAGACTTCAGACCCCCTCACTGTTAACTGACCCCTAGCCACAAGCTGCTTTCTAATTTTATGCACATTACTTTCCTTCATTCTCCAATCTGTCTTATTTCATTTAGTGCAATCCAGAGACTGAGGTCTAGAGGCCACAAGTGGTCTGGAAAAGATTTCTAGTGTACCTTAGAGCCCCTATTCTATTTCTTTGTCTCTCTGTCTTTACCCATCTCTTCTGGACCTTTCTGATGTGGGAGACCTGGGCAGCTGAAAAGAAAGGAAGACTGATACTAATGGGATTAACTTATTAAGATAACTATATTTGCCTTTGAACTCACTCAGTAAAAGCCCATTTATCATTAGTAACTGCGGTTTAAGTTCAAATTTTCATGAGACCATCTAAAATATAAAGTCTATCAGAGATTGTTCTGGTCTGCCTATTATATTTGATAGTTTTTTTAGTATCAATTATTTTGGAGTCAACGTTTTGGTGTATACGTTATACAAGCAAACGTCAGCCTTTCGCTGGAACTAACAGAAATGGGTGACTTTCCATCCTATTTCTGCTACCCCTTTTTGGCCATGTCACAAAATTGTGCATATACAAGTTCCTTTCTGGTGACCACAAAAGCAGAGTCATTGTTTTATTCACATTCTTCTAGATAGGAAAATAGCTAATCTAACTTGTCAGGATATATCTTTTCCCCCAAGAGGTTCAATAAAGCCCTTTTCATTTGGAATGAAAAAGCAAATGCAGCCCTTAAGCCTTTCCTGTTCGTGAAATGGTTATCACACCAAAAGAATTGCTCACCACTGACTGCCCTGTCTTTTTTTGTCAGTTCCCCAGAAAGGGAACCTTCTCATTTACACCGAGTTTGGCAAGATGCTTGTACAGCCCAATGAGATCTGCGTCATTCAGGTTGGTGATGTGTACCCTTCTCTTCCCTGCCTCTCACTAATTTGGGAGCAGTCAGATGTTTCAGCTGCTGCTATTTCCAGCTCTAAAATTTCTCTGTCATGTCTGGGCAACGAGGAGGGAGCTTGAGTTATGCAGAAGGTTCCATGTGCTGAAGAGTAAGCAAGCTTGGGTGCCTGTTTTGTTTTAATATAGCACATAATTCTAAAGCACAGACCACTTGTCACTGCACTTTACTAAATATTTACATACACTCTGGATAAGGCCCTATTCCCACTAATGGCAGTAGAGACAGTGAAGGTTGACTTTTTTTCTTTTTTTTAATGTGACTAAATCAGGCTTATCGTTATCTCTGGACCCAATGAGAGGGTAGACTAGAATTGGCTTGGATCACATATGTGATTAGGAATTAAGCTTTGCTTTTTAACTCATCTTTGCTCGGGTCACCTCTCAGTCAGCTCAACAAACCAGAGCTTTATTTTTGGATGTGGGACTGGCTATGGCTCTGTGCAGCTTCAGTTATAACTACAGCTGTGATTTTAGAGGGCACACCAGTGTCTATTTTCCATTCCAGAGAGGAATGCGGTTCAGCATAGATGTGTTTGAGGAGACCAGGGGCTACATCTTGGAGGTCTACGGTGTCCACTTTGAGTTACCTGACCTTGGACCAATTGGTAAATCTTCATTACAAGCCTCTAAGCCTCACTTGAGATGTAGGACACAGCTAACTGCATGAAAGTTAAACATCCTTCCCCCTTCACTATCTCATTCAAACCTCCACTTTTCTCTCTAGATAAATTCTTCTCTAGACCAAGCATCTTTCCATAAAATACATGCAAAACAGAAAGCAACCCAAACCAATCCATTATAAATCTCTCTAGAATAGTATATAAACATTGGAGATAAAGACAGCATGTAGTAGATTTCTGGTTGCACACACAGTGTGTACAGGAAAAAATATAGAAGTTTGGGTTACTGTGGGTCCCCTGGGGGCCCAGAAACAGCTCCACAAAAGAGATGAGAATTTGACTAATTCTTTATGAAAAGTTGAGGAGAGTAAAGAGGAAAGGGAACAGCTTTGCAAAAGCATACAAGTGGGAATGAGCTTTGTGATTAGGAGGAAGATCTTTTTGCTCAGTCAGTGGGTTGTTTATAGACAATAAAGTGAGAAAGCCATAAAAATGGCCTGGGCTGTATTCCTGTGGAAATGGGATGGACTGGCTGACACATAGTCTATGAACATCTGTGTAAACCCCACCAAATCCACACACTTAGCTGTCAAAAAAAGTATATCCCTCAGTGCTATGAAGGATCTAGAAACCATACCCCAGGAGGCAGATTAAAATATTCAAAAGTGAACCAAGGCCCCACCCAGCCCCCATTCTTCTGGCAAGCTTGAGGAAGTGAAAATGTTAGGAGGGGTTGATCTCAGACTCCCTCTTGGAGCAAAAGGAGTGGCTGGGAAAATTGGCCCCTGGTTTCCTCTTGGGTCACACCTCCCAGTTCTTCCCTTCATTGTCAACAGCTTTTTAGAGCAAACAGGGACAGGCCAATGTGTGCCTTCTGGTCAACTCCCCTGAGGAATCCAAATATGCAGAGGAAGGTGGGAGGCAGCAGGAGGCAGCAAGAGGCAGCTGGAGCCGTGGTGGGCCGTCTGTCATCCTGTTCACCACCCACTCTTCCCACTCTGCTCTGGCTTCCTGCTGCTATACAGTCAGCATAGCCTCCAGGTTCCGTGGAACATGTATCCTCTGGAAAATATCTATAATTTACTAACCAGCCAGGGGCTTATTTTTTTTAACCCCAGGAGCTGGAAATGATAAAACACTTCTCAACTCACTCCTCTCAGAGTTAAAATTGTTTTTGCACTTACCTTTTTCATGTTTGGTCTTTTGATTTATTTTCTTTATCTGGAGGAGACACTCACTGCTAAACAAAGGTAAGCAGGCAAGTCCTAAATACTTCTTCCTGAGTGGCAGACAGGTTTTTCAAGCTGGAGAGCAGTGAATCTGAGTTCTGTCTAAGGAGCAGAGGCATGCCTAAGGCAACAGCCTGTAATCCTTCCTATCTGAGACCAAGGACTGTCAATGAGTTCTAGAGTATTCAAGGGTTCCTTGAAAAGAAAAAGTTCTGAAGTTCTTTCAGATCGTCCTTTTTCCTCTTCCCTTCCCCTCACCTGTAGTGATAAGATAATGCATATAAGATGGTTTTGTTAACCATAGTCACTCCACAATCTTAGAAGGTAATGCTGGTTTTTGTAAATGTTTTTTCTGACCAGATTCCTTGAGTCATCCTAAAAGGTACCAAACTGGAAATCCAGTGAATCTTTGGGCAACGAAAGCAATTTGTGGAGTAGCTCTTGACATGAAAGAAAGCCTTTCTCTTCATGCAACACAGGGTATCTTTCCTATGTTTTGGAAGTTTCTAAAAGACTTTTGGGTTACTGTATTCTAGGGGCCAATGGCTTGGCCAATCCTCGTGATTTCTTGATACCCGTTGCCTGGTATGAGGATCGCCAAGTACCAGCTGGTTACACTGTCATTAATAAATACCAGGGCAAGCTGTTTGCTGCCAAACAGGTAAGGTAAGAGGGTTGGCAGGCAGGGGAGGAAATGCATAGTGATTGAGCACTTACTGATTGCCAAGGCGAATGTTAGAAATTTTACATATATCCTTTCATTGTTATACCACTAAGGCACTACAAATAAGACAAATAGTTCTCATATTCAATGATACTTTCATAGTCATGAAAAAGACCAGTAATGATAAATAGCTTACCAATGTCACAGTAAGTGGCAGAGCCGGCATTTGAACCCATATCTGTCTGACTCCAAAGGTTGTGCCCTTTCTACTCACCAAGCAATGAAAATCTTAGCAATATGCAGGTCTCTATAAATGGTATGGAAAACATAATATATGGGCAGCATAAGGAAATGAGTTAACAACAGATCAGCCAAGATTTATATTCTCCAATAGCACCCTATTTCAAATACAGGCCATTCTACAAAACAAGTAGAATTCCGTTAATTAGCTTGGCTTGGTTTATACTACCAGGCTGGCAAATTCAGGACACCAAGCAAAGGCACAGATATTAATAAATAATAATAATAACAATGTCATATGGACTCTATAACATATTATTAAATATGCTGAATATATATGAGAAGAAAATAATCATATAAGAAGAAGAACCCAAAGATCTCTTCTGTTTAGCATTATCTGTTTGCTTCATTTTGTCTATTTGACTTACTCCTTATATTTTCCAAGGTATGTTATTCTTCTTACGCAGCATCTAGAGATAATGCCAACCAGCAGAGGTCAACCAGTTTGGCACTTAGAAATTAACCGTCAAAGCAGACACCTTGTCATTCTTACATTCTCTGGGTCAGGATCTCTCAAAATTCAGGGGGCTATTTGCATCAGAAACCCTCAGGGAGGCTTGTTTAAAATGCAGATCCTTAGATACTACTCTAGCTTTGCAAAAATGATAACCTCTGGAGATAGTGATGGAAACCTACACTCATTTTAAGCATATTCCCCAAATCATTGTTTATATATAATTGTTAGAGGACCACAATTCTAGAAGCAGCCAGTAGCTCCTCCAGAAAGGTTTGCACTTTCCAAGTGAACCCTGTGCTGGTTACTCTCTGTGTGAGTCCCCATTGATCCATTTTCCCTCTTTGCCATGATCTGTGTCCTAGGAGGTTGACTGTATCACCTGTGCTCCCTGACCAGCTGGCTTCTGCTGGGTTCAACCCACAGGAAATTGGAAGGCAAGAGGAAAGACAATTGGGATATTTCTTCCCCTGCTTCCTCCCTGTTTAGGAATGTGTTTCTGGCAGTAGCTGCATCCCCCATATGACCTCAGCTCCTGTTGGATAGCTCTAGTGGTATGCTGGAGCTGATTCATAGTGACTTGCAAAAGCTGATTTGCACACTTCTGTCCAACTCTGTATTCAGCGATGTCACATTGGTAGCTAGAAAATGATCATGGTGAGACTATATACACCTTAGAAATCAGTAAACTCTATGTCAATGCTTTATATTTTTCTTCAGAGTGCTAGTTGTTAAATATTTACCAGCACACCACTGGGTATCCCCCTTTTTTATAATTCTAGCTCTTGCTGAAGTTCTATAACAATATTTTCCTCCTTATTTCACATGCCTAGGACTGGCAGTGTCTTCCCACTATTGCTATGCTCAGATGCTTCAACATTTCCAATCATTCCAGTTAACCCTGACCATGCCTCTATGAGTTGTGCCTCCATTAAAATCTTTAGAGCATTCAGGCCGATAGATACAGAAGAGACCATCTTCCTATAGCAGAACACTGATCCTCTTCTACCCCAGGACAGGACCAAGAAGTATTATGTTAGGATTTCTCTGAAGTCTCAAGTTCTTGGAGTTGGAACTCTTAGAGGCTTTCTCCCCTCTCCTGGACTTACCAACCCAGGCACTGTGTCTATTGCAAGCCCCTCTAAGCTGAAATTACCTGGAGAAACATCACAGCAGGTAGCCTGCTCCAGGAAACAGAAGGTAGTCCAGATTGCTTGAGAATTGCTGACATCTACAGATCCTCACGGTTAGGTTAAAAATTGTTGAAAAGGCAATACTTGGAGAATGTGCTGTGCTTCTGCTGCGTGTGTGATCAGAAGGCAGCTGCAGCTTATGAACCAGAAAAGATTAGTGGCTAAGTGGAGGGCATGTGGAACAACCACAAAATGATTCAGGGTTATACTTCTCCCAAAAGACAGTAAAATTAAATGAAGAACAAAATCAAATCAAAAGAAGAGAGAGGTATACCCAGTACATACTGTGGGATCACAGCTACAAAAGCATTAGATAGTAAAAATCATCTTTTCCTGCTTTTTGTGATTAGGATGTCTCCCCATTCAATGTTGTGGCCTGGCATGGGAATTATACACCCTACAAATACAACCTGAAGAATTTCATGGTTATCAACTCGGTGGCCTTTGACCATGCAGTAAGTGTGAAGGGGCCCTGGGATGAGACAACCCTTGGGTGGGAGGGGTCCACAGTAGACCCCTGACAATTACAGATCTAACATTTCCAATGTCACTGTTATAAGCCCGAGAGATAGTCATTTGTCCTTTAGTGAAGGAGTAAATAACAGAGCCAGTAGGGGAGCCAAGCCAGATACTCAATGTTCCCTGTGAACACAGCTTCATTCTCTACAGAGTGTTCATAATACTCTGGCTTGTGTTTGACAAACTAAGTGGATAAATACTTATCCCCCAAAACAACCAAGTGTTAATGTCGGTGCTGAAATGAGGGGAAAGAAACTTCATGAATTTGGAGAAGTCTCTGACCTCACAACTCCAGAGCCTCCTCTACTATCTCTGACTGCTCACCCCAGTGCCTCCATTTCTGGCTGTGTTTGGCAATGTTAGGGCGGACAGCCCACTTCTAAAGTGACTCATAACATTCAGTGCTTGAATTTAAACCAAAGAAATTCTAGAGCATGCACTTGGTCATATTTTTCAGTCAGTTAGGGGACCACAAATAGGTCCCTGGTCTACAGTGCAGGCCCCCAAGACCTTTCATACTTAATAAAGTGCTGGTTCGGAGATCCCGGGGGGCAGTTCATTCTGCAGCCCACTTCATAAGTGATTAACTTAACCCACAGACTGGAAGGATAATTAGAGCAGAAGTCAGAGACTCAAGAGGCAAAAAGATTATCCTGAGCCAGTTCAGTTTATCTTTGGGGGAACCAAACTATCTCTCTGAACAGCAGCAACTCTTAATAAAAGCAAAGGGGAAAAGAAAAGTGAGACATCAGGCCCCAAACAAACCTCATGGAAAAGGATCCTGAGACACTGATAAAGCTTTATTTGTGCCTCACTGCCTTTGCTTTAATAGTTTCAGACGATTTCCTATGACAGATGAAGAAAGGTTAACTCTCACAGCATTAAGGGTTGGGTTTATTTTTATTTGAATTTACACAGGTGCAGTCTTCTCTGTACTGCTGCTATAGTTATTGTTCCAAAATTCAGTTCTGATCATGCCACCACTGCATTCATTAGAAAACCTTTGCAGGCTTCCCATGGCTTAGGATTAAGTCTGAGTTCTGAAGCATGGTGTTTGATGCTGTTCACCATCTGTCCCTGGGCTCATTTTCCAGTACCACCTTTTGCCCCTCTCCCTTTTGTCAATGCATTGGGGTTTTAGCCTTCTGTCCTCTTAACAAAATCTCTGTGCATTTTGATGTGTTTTCTGTGATTAAATGTCATTTCCCTCCCTTCCCACTTCCTCAGTCCTTCCCTTCCTTCCTTTCTTCCACCACCCTCCCTTCCTTTCTTTCTTTTTTTTTTAATTAACTTTTATTTTAGGGTCAAGGGTACATGTGCAGGTTTCTCTCTTTCTCTCTCGCTCTCTCGTAAACTTTTATTTTAGGTTCAAGAGTACATGTGCTCCTTCTTTCCTTCCTTCCTCTTTCTCTCTCTCTTTTTCTTTCTTTCTGTTCATTCTTGAAGACCTACCTCAAATGTCACCTCCTCTTTGAAGCCTTCCTTGCTCCTTTCAGGGAGAATTAGATGCCCACCCCCTTCCCCCAATTAATGCTAAATAAGCGGGGAATCAATCCCCATGATCTTTTAATCCCCAGACTCTTGCATGGCCTCTGAAAGGGAACATGATTGTTAATTTCAATTAAATTGAATCTCAATCTTTTTACTAAAGAATTCTGAAGAATTTTTAAAAAGCATAATCTTGTCCCTCAGCCTGTCCCATCTCTACGCTACCACTATGAAGACTGGTGTTGTAAATGATGTATTTTAGACTGGAAAGTCGAACAAAGAAAGCAGTGAACCACTTCTCAGACTTTTCTGCCAATGGATACAATCTGGAATCTTTGTGTTCTCCCAAAAAGAAGCACATCTACACCAAAACTTGGATTTTTTTTTTTAATTTCTATTTCCACCTTGCGCTGAGCATCCCTTCTGACTACCATCTCTCTGCACATCTCAGCTCTAGTCACCCTGACCTGATGTTGAGAAGCAACCTATTACCCTGTGGATCTGAGGAACCATTGATTCTCAGACCCACAGGGTAATAGTTTGCATGTAATATAGGCTCAGCAAGGTGAAAAAGCAGCTCAGAATCCTTTTAGCTGGTGTTAATTCATTTCACTTCAAGCACAGCAAGAGGAAAAAGTCATGAGTGATTACTGAACCTTGATGACAAGCCCAGACTTCTGTTGTTTGATCAGAGACTAGGCTGTCCCTTTGCAGCAACATGGATGCATCTGGAAAACATAACCCTAAGCAAATTAATGCAGGATTAGAAAACTAAATACTGCATGTTCTTACTTATAAGTGGGAGCTAAACATTGAGCACCCATGGACATAAACATGCAAAAAATAGACACTGGAGACTATTAGAAGGGGGAGGGTGGAAAAACTACCTATTGGCTACCATGCTCACTACCTGGGTGATGGGATCCTGTATTAGTCTGTTTTTATACTGCTATGAAGAAATACCTGAGACTGGGTAATTTATAAAGAAAAATGGGTTTAATGGATTCACAGTTTCATATGGCTGGGGAGACCTCACAATCATGGTGGAAGATGAAGCAGGAGCAAAGGCATGTCTTACATGGCAGCAATCAAGAGAGCATGTGTAGGGGAACTGCCCTTTATAAAACCATCAGATCTTGTGAGACTTGTTCACTATCACAAAAACAGCATGGGAAAACCTCCCCCTCATGATTCAATTACCTTCCACCGGTTTCTTCTCACAACATGTGGGGATTATGGCAACTATAATTCAGGATGAGATTTGGGTGAGGACACAGCCAAGCCATATATCAGATTCCTACCCCAAACCTCAGCATCACACAATATACCCATGTAACAAGCCTGCACATGTACCCCTGTATCTAAAATAAAAGTTGAAATTAAAAGTTGAATAAAAGTAAATAAAAAGAAATTAGACTATCACTTGCAGACACGTTCAAGTGTGCATGAAATGTGTGTCATTGTCCAGTCACCACTCTTCCATTGTGCATTCAGTCTCTCCTTGTGTGTTCACAGGATCCATCCATTTTCACAGTGTTGACTGCTAAGTCTGTCCGCCCTGGAGTGGCCATCGCTGATTTTGTCATCTTCCCACCACGATGGGGGGTTGCTGATAAGACCTTCAGGCCTCCTTATTACCATAGTAAGTCTCTCTTTTACTGAGCCACATTTGCAAGCCAAAGAGACAACAAAGCAGTGAGCACCACACATTGGGAATAATGCCTAGGTTGTTTCTGGACACTTCCCCTGGCTTGAATTCAGGATCCTGCTTCACAGGGCCTAGCGCTGATCCCCAAGCTTTAATCTCAGAGAGATGGTAGTTGTGTCATTCCATTCTTCGTTGCTATAAAGGAATACCTGAGGCTACATAATTTGTAATGAAAAGAGGTTCATTTGGCTCACGGTTATGCAGCCTGTATAAGCAGCATGGTGCTGGCATCTGCTTCTTATGAGGCCTCAGGAAACACAATCATGGTGGCAAGCAAGGCAGGAGCTGGCATATCATGTGATGAGAGCAAGCAAGAGAGAAAGGAGGAAGTCCCAGTCTCTTTTGAACAGCCAAACCTCATGTGAACTCACAGAGTAGGAACTCACTCATAACTGTCATGGTGGCACCAAGCCATTTATGAGAGATCTGCCTCCATTAACCAAACACCTCCCACCAGGCCCCACCTCCAATACTGGGGATTACATGTCAACATGAGACTTGGAGGCAACATACATTCAAACTATATCAATAGTGATACATTGACTCTGAGCCTAGTTCCCAGTTTCTCTGTCCTGTAAGAGGCAGAGAGGCTGGTAAAAAGTAGAAGCCTTGTTAGAAAGGCTTCTAAACAAGTTTCCTCACATTTTGGATGTTTCCTTTTGGGGATGGGGAATGCTGGGGAGATTGTTAGTTAGTCTGTTGTTTTGGGAAAGTTTATCACCTAAGTATGGTTCAGACAACCAGAGAAAGAAAAATTGAGAGAGAGGTGGGGGTGGGGGTGGCGGGGGAGAGAGACAGAGAGAGAGAGAAAGAGAAAAATGTGACTTCTCCAATTATTTTGGCAGGGCAAAGCAGACTACAGCCTATATTAGGGAAAGGACTCTATTCTGGAAAGAGTTTCTGCAGAGCATTTGTTCCCTAGTATAAGACCTAACAAATCTACTATTTTTGTTTTATTAATATTATTAGTAGTAGTACCTAATAATTATTGGCCAATTTCTATGGCCCTGTTATAAGTTCTTAAGACTAACTCAAAGTGTTTATAACAGTCGTAAGAGACAGGTAGTATTATTGTCCCCTGCTTTTCTCAGGAGATTAAACTGACACAAGGATTAAGTAACTCTCTCAAGGATTCACAGCAAGTGTAGAGTCAGGATTTAATTGCAGGCTGTCTGATGCCAGAGCAAACACTCATGACTACTAACTACTATGGCTAGCATAGTCTCTGATACATAGCATGCTTCTGATAAATATTTTTTTAATAAGTGAATGCATCAACAAAAATAAATAAAGTACTTCATGGCTGTACTTAATGAGGTTGACAGTTTTAAGTGTGCAATAGCTAGCTGAAAATCCAACCAAAGGTCAATATGCAATTCTATTTCCTGGAGTGTGCATTTTTTGTACGTAGAGTTCTGGGAAGACTGTAAGAGGCATTCCACCTGGAACTTTCTAGAAAACAAATTCCCTTCTTTAGTAAACCCCAGGGCCTTCTGTTTATATGAGGTCCCTCTCCGTATATACCAGTTCCCAGGTACCAGGGCTCAACAGAATACAACAGTGCACTGAATGGCCAATTTAGCTATTTTATAGCATCAGGAATGAAGGCCCTCAGGATGGAAGAAGGCCATTCCATGGTCAAATGCCAGCATCCCTTTTTTCAGATGATGCCATCATGGTAGAGAAAAGAAAATAATCAGTTACCACTGCAAAGAAACGAGCTATTTTGTAAATACCATCATAAGTCCTTTCTAAAAAATGTCAAGCCTACTAAAGACTCCTCCTGGAAGTTAGTGGCTTAGAGAACCTGTTGTCAAGGAGAGAAAATTGCCCTGGCTTATAGTCTGTACTTCACATGCTACTCCTTAAGCATTCACCGTTTCATTCTTGTTCTTTTATTGAGGTTAGTCTGTGTGCCTGTAGTGGTTCTCACATTTTACCATGTATCAGAGTCACCTGGAAGTCTTGTTAAAACAGATTACTGGGCCCCATCATCAGAATTTCTGCTTCAGTAGATCCAGGATAGGGCCTAAAAATTCACATTTTTAGCAAGTTCCCATGTGATGGTGATGCTAATATTCTAGGGGCCTCACTTTGAGAATATTCGGGGATATAAAAATCACTTAGCCTTTTCTTAAAAGTTTATTCTCAGAGTTTACCTCCAAAGAGCTTATTAGCTTTCAGGTGGAACCTCAGAATCTGCCTTCTTTTTGAGATGAGGTCTCACTCTGTCACCCAGGCTGGAGTGCAGGTAGTACAATCTCAGCTCACTGCAACCTCCATCCTTGAGGCTCAAGTTATCCTCCTGAGTAGCTTGGACCACAGTTGTGTACCACCAGGCATTTTTTTTTTTTTTTTTTTTTTTTTTGGATTTTTAGTACAGACAGGGTCTCACCATGTTGCCCAGCTGGTCTCAAATTCCTTAAACTCAAGCAATCCGCCCGCCTTGACTTCCCAAAGTGCTGGGATTACACATGTGAGCCACCATGCCCAGCCAGAATCTGCATTTTTCATTGGCAAGTCAGGGGATTATAATGAAGGAGGTTTACAGAGTACTTGTTGAGAAATACTGGCCTAGGACTTGTCCCTGTCCCTAGGTAGAGGGATAATAGAGTCATCTGATTTAAACAAGTTTGCTACTGTGCTATAGGCTCTCAAACCACTCCTTAATTTTTATTTGTGGTTCAGACTTCCTGAAACAACCTGAGAGATGCCTCCTGTAGTTTTTTAATGACTCTCAAAGTTAATTTGGCCCCAGGGTAGATCTTGTAAAGGTATAGATATCCTGAGTTAGTTGGAAAAAACCATCAAACTCCAGGTTAGAAATTATTTTTCCAGAGATATTAAAAATATTGCTTTGGCAATACTCAAAATCTTTGCTACTTTGATGTGACTTTATTATAAGAGAAAATGGAGAATTATTTTTGGAGAAATATTGCCTCCAGTCATCTTAATGTGCCTTAGTCAAATAGATTCAGCTTTAATCAGAAAGGCAAGGTCTATCCTCCCACTGTCCTTTGAAATATAGAAAATGATATAGAAATGGCATCACCAAGCTCATTTCTCTCTAAATTCGTATTCAGATCAAAGCTGAATTCTATTTTGCTATCTTCTTAAAATTAAGCAATGAAGGTGACCCTGAGGACACATACTAGAGCAAGGAGTGTGACACCAAATTTAAGTCATGAACAGAACTGTTTTTAAAACAGACACTTTATGCTTACATTTGCTTCTTTTTCTGTATTTTCACTTCATAGAGAAACAAGTAGAGCTATGACCTGGGTCTCACCTCTTCAGCAGGAGCTCAAACACTCTTACTCACTTTGTAGGGGCCTGTAGTAGCTTTCTGTTTCGGAGCAGGGTGGGTGTGGCTGCTTAGTCAATTATAAAAGTATTTGGGACTTGGTTATGCTTCACATGTAAGCCAGAAGGGCAGGCATGTATCGTGTCCAATGTTTGATTTTGTAAGAGTTGTCACTGCCACATCTCTCTACTCTGTCCTTGGTTTGCATTCTCAGTACTGTCACAGGACAGACTATGAGTAGCTTTAAAGGTTCTTTTGTTGTTAATGATTTCTTTTTTAAGTAGCTTTCAAGGCTATTTCTTATTCATCTCTGTCTCACGGTATGCAGCACAGTGTCTAATTATATATGCTGGATGGATGGGCAGATGGGTAAAGTGGGAAAAGGATAGTTGAATGAAAGAGTGAGTAGATGTGTGGTTGGAGATGAAAAGGCACTTATATTTGCTCAGGTGTTATATTTCTTTAATTCCTGCCCTATTGTATTGCTACTCTAATAAAGAGCTTTATTTCAATAGAAGCGTAAGATTGGAAGAGTAGAAGCATGGTGATTTTAGTCAAATTTTGTGTGACTCTAGAAAGCACAACTAGGACCAATGAATTTAACTTATATAAAAGCAAATTTCCATTTAATATAAGAACTCTCTAACAACTCAGAGCTCTTCAATAATATGATACGCTTTGTAGAGTAGACAGCTTCCATTCACATCTAGGCAGAGCCCAGGAGGTAATCAGTCAGGAAAGATAAAGAAATTTCTTCTACATTGAGTAGAAGTAAGGATCCCTTCCAATGTTAAGATTTAGGACTCTATGAATAGGGTATCAATGGAAATAGAAAAAATAAAAACAAATCCAAAAGACATTTTGAAGAACAGAAAGACAAGAGGATATCAAATTTAACTATAGAAAGTAATATTTGTTACAATAAATAGCATTGACTGTCTGTTTTATACGCATACCAAGATTTTTTCACACGGATTATCATTTGATAATGGACTTTAAGTCTGGGGTTCTTTTCATTATATCACCATCCATCTACACACACACACACACACCACTTAAGCTTTCTAGATTGGAAACTAGAAATGTGGTGTTGCCATGTCCTACAGTGGAGCTATTTGGGAAAGGGTTCTGATCTGGGAGATAAGATAACTTTGATACAGGACTTGCAAGCTAGATGATACAGAACATTCACTCTCTATTATGACTGGCATTTTAATTTTTGTTATATCCTCTGGGCCCTGGTTTTCTTTAGATCTAGCCTGATTCCTGTCAGACAGTGGAGCTCAAGACCTCTCATAATCTACATGCCCTTGGAGTAGAGCTGTGCCTGCCAAGAATGCCAGTTATGAATGCTTTGTGATTGTTCATCTGTCAATCTATATTCTTTATAGATCCTATAAAATTTATTAGTTTCTCCTGTGTTCCTGGAATTCTGCAGAAATAATGTGTAAGGGGTCTTGGTATTTTACTGGTCTTGCCTTGGATAATAAAAATAATACTGCTTCAACTTTCCCAGGGAACTGCATGAGTGAGTTCATGGGACTCATCCGAGGTCACTATGAGGCAAAGCAAGGTGGGTTCCTGCCAGGGGGAGGCAGTCTGCACAGCGCAATGACCCCGCATGGACCTGATGCTGACTGCTTTGAGAAGGCCAGCAAGGCCAAGCTGGCACCTGAGAGGATTGCTGATGGCACCATGGTAAGTATGTTAACTGCCAGATTCCAGCAGCCTCTGAACTCCCCACTCTTGCTGAAAAGGGTGGCCATTTTTTATTTATCCAAAGTCACAGAGGAAAAGTCAAAAGGGGGAGAGTTACATGACTGCATAAGTATGTTTACATGTGTATAAACACACATCCTTGTATATATACTAGACTTCTGGTGTGGTGGTGTAGAAAGATCTTTGGATTTGAGTCAGATCTGGGTTCTGGGTTTAAGTCCCATCTCTTAGTTCCTGTGTGATCTTGAACAAGTCACTTAACTTCTCTGTGCTTCATTTTCCCTATCTGTAAAATGGTTATAGTATCGAACCCAACAGATGGCTATGAGTTAACCTAACAGACTGTCCAATATGATTCAAATATAAGGGAATATTATTAGTACTATGTGAACCCTCTTCCTGTATCCATATGCAGCCCTGAGCATATGCTATGTCTCAGAGTCTTTTGCTTTTTGAAGTAATCCTCCAGGGCCACAATAGTAGCAGAGGCATGATGTCACCTTCAGCACATGTTTCAAGCCAAAGAGAGTCAAAAGCCCTTGCTTCACTATAGTCAGGGCTTGTGAGAAGGAATTCTCAGCTGTTTTTTTCATTTTCCTTTGCTCTGTTTTGGCATGGATGCAACTGATGGGATTTGAAACCTGTTTTGTATTCCTCCTGTGTCAGGCTGTAAACATTGAGGCTGAACACAATTGGAGTTGGCCACAGTGCTTGATTTTATTTTATTTTTGCATTCTTTGAGGTAGTGTTTATGGAGCGCAGGGAGTAATTTTATGCTAAATCACATGCAAATTTGCTTTACTTTTAAAAATAAATGCCTTCAATGCTACCTGGTTTAAAATCTGTAGCACAGACCTGCTTACTTCATGCTTGCAAACTACCCTAGGCAGTGAGCATTATCTGTCCATCTGTCTAGTGCAGTTTGCTTTTAGTCCCAACCGTGGAGCCAGAGTTGGTGAAGCTGCTCTGCAAAAGGAGGATGTACAGAGTCCCATTTGCTTGCTTTGGCTCTATTTCCCCTTTCAAGGGCCTCTATGGAAACCCTACATCTGAATGAGATGCAGTTTGGCAGTCTCAGTTAAGCTATAACCTCTGAAGTCTCCTGGAGGTACATTCCTGGAGGCTATTCCAGAGTTGCCACACAATAACCTTTGGTGCCCCAACTTGGCTTTGGGTGGTCAATGTTATGAGGGAGCTGTGTTTTACAACAGTGAGGCATAGAACAGGGCTGTTTCTGTGAGGAGCAGTGCTTTAAATAATGTCCACGGCCTGGAGTACTAGTGAGAAAGAGCTCTCCTATTAGGATGGGAGACCCTGGGTATCAGGGAGCCAGAATACCTGATAGCAGAGGGTCCAACTCTTTACCTAGACCTAACTTTCAGTCTTCCTCACCATTTCCCATTATATAATTCAGACCTAGATCTATCTATATGTCTTATTCTTATTCTTGTTTGGAGTGATTAACTTGATACAATACCACCTTCAAAGTCAGCTGGGATGGGGCTTTTGTTACTCTAGCCAAACAGGGAGGCTTTTAAGAAGCAGTCAGCAAAGAGACAATAGGAATGGCCTTAATAATCCTTATATCTGAATAGTGCTTTTAAAAATTTTTTCTTACTATTTATTATTTTTATGGATACATAGTAGGTATGTATATTTATGGGGTATATGCATGTATATTTATGATACAAGCATGCGATGTGTAGTAATCACATCAGGATAACTGGGGTATCTGTTACCTCAAGCATTTATCCTTTGTGTTAAAAACAATCCAGTTATACTCTTTTCAGTTAATTTTAAATGTGTGATTAAATTTTTATTGACTATAGTCACTGTCTTACACTATCAAATGCTAGGTCTTATTCATTTTTTTCTTTTATTTATGTGTGTATTTATTTTTAACTTTTATTTGAGGTTCAGGAGTACATGTACAGATTTGTTACATAGGTAAACTCATGTCACGGGGTTTATTGTACAGATTATTTTGTCACTCGGTACTAAGTAGTACCCAGTAGTTATTTTTTCTGATTCTCTCCCTCCTCCCACCCTCTATTCTCAATTAGGTACCAGTGTCTGTTGTTCCCCTCTCTGAGTCCATGAGTTCTCATCATTTAGCTCCCACTTAGAAGTTAGAACATGCAGTATTTGGTCTTCTGTTCCTCTTGGTTTGCTAAGGATAATGGCCTGCAGCTCCATCATGTTCCTGAGAAACACATTTTATTTTGTTCTTTTTTATGGCTGCATAGTATTCCATGGTGTATATACATATATATATATGGGCCACATTTTCTTTCTTTAGTCTGTCATTGATGAGCATTTAAGTTGATTTTATGTCTTTGCTATTGATAATAGTGCTGCAATAAACATTTCCATGCATATGTCCTTATGGTAGAATGACTTACATTCCTTTGGGTAAATACCCAGAAATTGGATTGCTGGGTAGCATTGTAGTTCTGTTTTTAGCTCTTTGAGGAATCACCACACTGCTATCTACAGTGGTTGAACTAATTTACATTCCCACCAACAGTATATAAGTGTTCCCTTTTCTCTGCAACCTTGGCAGAATCTGTTATTTTTTGGCTTTTTAATAATATTCAGCCGGGCGCGGTGGCTCAAGCCTGTAATCCCAGCACTTTGGGAGGCCGAGGCGGGTGGATCACGAGGTCGAGAGATCGAGACCAACCTGGTCAACATGGTGAAACCCCGTCTCTACTAAAAATACAAAAAATTAGCTGGGCATGGTGGTGCGTGCCTATAATCCCAGCTACTCAGGAGGCTGAGGCAGGAGAATTGCCTGAACCCAGGAGGCGGAGGTTGCGGTGAGCCGAGATCGCGCCATTGCACTCCAGCCTGGGTAACAAGAGCGAAACTCCGTCTCAAAAAAAAAAAATAATAATAATAATAATAATAATAATATTCATTCAGACTGGTATGAAATGGTATCTCATGTGGTTTTGATTTGCATTTCTCTAATGATAAGTGATACTGAGCTTTTCTTCATTTTCTTGTTGACTGCATATATGTCTTCCTTTGAAAAGCATCTGTTCATGTTCTTTGCCCACTTTTTAATGGGGTTGTTTTTTCTTGTAAAATTTGTTTAAGTTCCTTACGGATGCTGGATATTAGACATTTGTCAGCTGTATCATTTGCAAACATTTTCTCTCATTCTGTTGGTAGTTTCTTTTATGTGCAAAAGCTCTTAAGTTTAATTAGATCCCATTTGTCAATTTCTGCTTTTGTTGCAATTGCTTTCAATGTTTTTGTCATGAAATCTTTGCCCATGCCTATGTCCTGAATGGTATTGCCTAGATTGTCTTCCAGAGTTTTTATAGTTTTGGGTTTTGCATTTAAGTATTTATCCATCAGGAGTTGATTATTGTATATGGTATATGGAGGGGGTCCAGTTTCAATCTCATGCATATGGCTAGCCAGTTATCCCAGCACCATACCATTTATTGAATAGAAAGTCCTTTCCCCATTGCTTTTTTTTTTTTTTTTTTTTTTTTTTTGGTCAGCTTTATTGAAAATCAGAGCATATAGGTGTGCAGCCTTATTTCTGGGCTCTCTATTCTGTTCCATTTGTCTATTTGCCTGCTTTTGTACCATTACTATGCTGTTTTGGTTACTGTAGCCCTGTAGTATACTTTGAAATAGGGCGGCATGATGCCTCCTGCTTTGTCCTTTTTGCTTAGGATTGCCTTGGGTATTTAGGCTCTTTTTTGGTTCCATATCAAATTTTAAAATAGTCTTTTGTAGTTCTGTGAGGAATGTCATTGCTATTTTGACAGGAATAGCATCAAATCTTTACATTGCTTTGGACAGTATGGCCGTCTTAATGATACTGATTCTTCTTTTCCATGAGCATGGAATGTTTTCCATTTGTGTCATCTCTGATATCTTTGAGCAGTGGTTTGTAATTCTCATTGTAGAGACCTTTCACCTCTCTGGTTAGGAGTATTCCTAGGTATTTTATTCTTTTTGTGGCAGTTGTGAATGGGATTGCATTCCTGATTTGGCTCTCAGCTTGACTGTTGGTGTATAGGAATGCTAGTGATTTTTGTACACTGATTTTGTATCCTGAAACTTCGCTGAAGTTGTTTATCAGTTGAAGGAGCTTTTGGGCTGAGACTATGGAGTTTTCTAAATATAGAATCAGATCATCTGCAACAGGGATAGGTTGACTTTCTCTCTTCTTATTTTGATGCGCTTTATTTCTTTCTCTTGCCTGATTGCTCTTTGCCGGGACTTCTAAGACTGTGTTGAATAGGAGTGGTATGCAAGAGCGTCCTTGTCTTATACTGGTTTGCAAAGGGAATGCTTTCAGCTTTTCCCTATTCAGTATGATGTTGGCTGTGGGTTTGTCATAGATGGCTCTTATTTTGAGGTGTTTTTTTTTCAATGCCTAGTTTATTGAGAGTTTTTAGCATGAAGATATACTGAATTTTATCGAAAGCCTTTTCTGCATATTGAATAGTACTGTATAACTTGCATAGCACTTCCATATGATCTCATGCAGTCTTCCCATCAAGGCTGTCATAGGAAGTCAGGCAGGGATAATCAAATTCACATTGTTTTAAGCAAAAATAAGTTAATGTATACTAGACCCCAAACATTAATCTGGGTGCTTTGGGTTGTAGCACAAGATAATTCTATTATTTTCCTTTTGCCTGTCTGTATTTTTAAAATTTCCAAATGTGAGCATATAGAATTGTAGGGTTTGGTTTTTGGGTTTTGTTTTGTTTTTAAAGCCACAGTGGGTAAGAAAAATCAGCCATTGATGAAGCTGGAATGTCTAAGATGCACAGAATATTTGCATATTCTTTCTGTTGTGAACAAAAACTTCCTGACAGTGTAATATCCACCATTCAGACACTTCTAAGATATGACTTTTAAAGGTGCTACAGCCATTCCTACCATTTCCTTTGCCTCCCTCTCCTCCCCACTCCCCCTTTTTTTCCTTTTCCAAGTCCATCTCTTGGTCAGTGTCCTGAAAAGACAGGCTCAAATCCTAGGTCTGCCATGACTTGTCGCCTTAAGCAAGTCATTCCCCAGCTCTCAGCCTTAATTCCTCCTCTGCAAAATGGGGAGTATGCCTTTCCTCACAAGGACATAGCCACGGTAAGGAAAGGCCCTGAAAAGACGGATATTCCCAGGATTCTCCCATGTCTGCTCTTGGATCTAGCAGACTTAGTTCCATAATACCATGAAGAAAATGTGAATCTTAAGGGCTGAATTTTATTTTACAGAATAAAACTTGAGATCCTGAGAAGTTAAGAGTCTTGCACCAGGTCTCACCAGCTTACAAATGGTAGGACCAGAGCCACACTCAGGCTTGAGCCTGCTCTCCTCACCATGCTAGCACACAAATCTTCGATTTATTATTGGAAGATTTTTGCCTACCCATACCCTTCCCTTGACATCTAATCAAATGTGTTTATTGTCTATCTCACTTCTTTTTTTCTCATCCCACCTCACTTGCTCCAGGCATTTATGTTTGAATCATCTCTAAGTCTGGCAGTCACCAAGTGGGGACTCAAGGCCTCCAGGTGTTTGGATGAGAACTATCACAAGTGCTGGGAGCCACTGAAGAGCCATTTCACTCCCAACTCCAGGAACCCAGCAGGACCTAATTGAGACTGGAACATTGCTACCGTAATTCAGAGTAGATTTGTGAGTCTTTCTTGAGAATCTTATGCTTTCTGGTAGTATTGGGGGAGGGGGTTGGTTAAAATGAAAACTCACTTTTCACAGTCAAGTAACTGAGAACTTTTGTGGAAACGCATTTGCAAAGTTCTATGGCTGTTACCTTAATTACTCAATAAACTTGCTGGTGTTCTGTGGAAGTAGTGATTGGTCATAATCAGGTCTTGATGAGCAAACCTGGTAGGTCAGGTAAGTCTTGGTAAGACTGAACCAAGGCCCAGGGCCCCTTCCCCTGTGGTTGGCCCAAAGGCCTTCATTCTAGGAGCACAAGCCCAGGCATATGCTCGATACCAGAAGACCAGGCCACAAGGCCAAGCATTCAGACCATGAGCTGAGACTGAAGGTATGGCAAAGCTCTTAGGAGCCAATCCAGACATGGGGGAATTTAGGGGACCATGAGCTCTCCAAACAACTAGCTTTCAATAGATGAGGAGCCAAGCCAGTAGGCTGTCTAATTTTGGTAGTCACATAGCAGCCAATATGATGACAGTGGAGAACACCAGCCACCAAGATGTGAGAATCACTCATTTTCTTAGGGTGACCGCCTGTCCCAATTTGTGCAGAACTACATCAGTGTCTTCACTGAAAGACCCACATCCCAGGAAACCCCTAGGTCCTGGTCAAACCAGGACAGTTAGTTACCCTACTCTTCACTCATTTATCAATCCACTCGGTAACCACATATTGAGTCCTTACTACCAGTTACAGAGGAGGATGCTGGGGATGAAGGGTTGAATAAAAATAAACAACCTCTCCCCTTAAGAAGCTCACAGTCTGGAGAGATAAGGGCCAAAGAAAATCAAGGCCCAAGTATAAGGCCATGAGAAAAATTTCCACTGTGTGAAAAGCTGTACCTACCAGTTCCCTTCCTATGGTCAGCATCCCTCCCAGAACACAGGGCTGCCCAAGACTTTTGACGTGAGTTGATTAGGTTCTCCTGGTGTGACAAGACAGGAAAATCTGAACAGAAATATGATCGAAAATGATGTTTGTCACTACTTCAGCTTTGTACTTTTAGCACATTTCCCCAGCTTTGTTGCCATAGTAGCAGTTTTGATATGCTGCTACCAAATTTTCATTCAGTAATATGTAATGAGAGTCAGCTATGTGTCAGGGCCTAAGGATTAGAATTGCCAGATAAAATATGAGAAGCCCAGTTAAATTTAAATTTCAGACAAACCACAATAGTTTTTAATATAAGTATGTCCTGTGCAGTACTTGGACATTCTTATGCTAAAAAATTATTCGTGGATTACCTGAAATTCAAATTTAAGTTGGCATCCTGTATTTTTATTTGCTAAATTTGGCAATACTACTAGAGATACAGTGGTCAAGGAGTAAGCCTAATCAGGGTGCTTTCTGTTCTTTAAGGTTTTCTATTTCTAAGCAACAAGATGGCATATTTCTTGGGAAGCAAGGTCCAAATCAGGGGCTGGTTGCGCAGGCTAGCCTCAAATGCCTGGGCTCAAACAATCCTCCTGCCTCAGCCTCTCAAGCAGCTAGGACTACAGGCATATCCCACCAGGCCCAGCCATATCAGGGTTTCTTAAGGTGTACAGAAAAGTGGTGAAAAATCCCTAAGGCTCCCAACATTTGAGAAACATATAATGGGATCAGATGAGGTATGGAGTGAGGGATTACCCTTCAGGGCAATGTGGGAAGGGGCACTATCTCCCATAATAAGCTCAAGTTCAGGAACAGGAAATCTCACTATGTAGTGCAGGCTAGCCTCAAATTCCTGGGCTCAAACAATCCTCCTGCCTCAGCCTCCCAAGCAGCTAGGACTACAGGCGTGTCTTACCGGACCCAACCATATCAGGGTTTCTGTGCTCAGGTTGGGCACAGGAAGAGTCAAGGTGTCGTAGGAGTTATTAAGAAATTATTTTAGGCAGACAGAGAAGAAAAGGGGTCCTTTGGAATTTTTTTTCTTTTTTCTTTTTTTTAAGTAGAGACGGGGTTTCACTATGTTGGCCAGGCTGGTCTTGAACTCCTGACCTCATGGTCTATCCGCCTCGGCCTCCCAAAGTGCTGGATTACAGACGTGAGCCACCACGCCTGGCCAGAAGTTTTCATTTTTTAAAGCATCTCCAGAAACCTTTCTTTTTTTTTTTTTTTTTTTTTTTAATCCAGCCCAAAATGTCACAGAAACCTTTCTTATAAAGCCCTAGCTCTTAGAGCTGGGCTGGCAACCTTTGACATGCAAATGCAGGCCATTAGAAACTAGGTCCACCCAATATGGCAATTCCCACCGTTGTCTTCTTGCCCTTGTTCACACAGGTGCCTGGCAATATGGCCGCCCCCCTATGTCCCCAGGAATGTAGAACATCACAGCGACCATATTTGCATATTAAAAGGCTAGGGTGGGAAGGCCAGCTTTTTCCACAGACTATGTGAATGACATGCCTGATCAAACCAATCCCCTGAGCCCAGTGCAAATCAGACACTGCCTCCTCCAAGCTACTCATAAAACTGGCTGGTATCCATGGCACTTGGGGTCTCCTCTTTTGGCTTTGGAGCCCCACTCCGGCTGTCTCTGTAACAGGGAGCTTCTTTCTTCTGCCTTCCCCGTTCTTTCTTGCCTATAAAACTCTCCACTCTTTAAAACCACTCCACATGTGTCCTCGTGGTCTTTTCCCAATTCGATTGCAAGACAAGAGCCCTGGTGTTGTTCCTCCACTCATTCGAGCTGTATCACAGGGAGCAGGAGAGGAAAGTTTAAAAATCTAAGGCAGCCGAGCATGGTGGCTCACGCCTATAATCCCAGCACTTTGGGAGTCCGAGGCAGGCAGATCACAAGGTCAGGAGTTTGATACCAGCCTGGCCAGTATGATGAAACCCCGTCTCTACTAAAAATGTAAAAATTAGCCAGAAGTGGTGGTGGGCACCTGTGGTCCCAGCTTGATTATATGCTAAACAAGGGGTTGATTATTGATGAATTTTCCAGAAAAGGGGTAGGCAACTCTGGAGGGAGTGTCTTTTAGCAGGCGAACGCATTACAATTAGCATATAATGAGCAGCCAAGATGACTAAAGGTCACTTTCGTCGCCATCTTGGTTTTGGTAGGATTTGGCCAGCTTCTTTACCACAAACTGTTTTGTCAGCAAGGTCTTTATGATCTGTTATCTTGTGCTGACCTCCTCGCTCATCCTGTGACTTAGAATGCCTAACCTCCTGGGAATGCAGCCCAGAAGGTCTCAGCCTTATTTTACCCAGTCCCTATTCAAGATGGAGTTGCTTCAGTTTGAACACCTCTGACAACAAACAGTAATCCTTGCTCTCTAAGGTATCATCTCTTAAACCCTCCAGGCTGGATCAGGTGTTCTTTCTCAGTACCTAGCTTCCTAATGCATCAGTCTTTATCCCTTTCAAAACATGATTAAAGATATGTTCTCTGGAGTCAGGCTGCTCAGTTTTAAGTCCCAACTTATTAGCTCTGTGGACTCAGGCAAAGTATTTAATCCTTCTAAATCTCATCTGCATAAAGGAGCTATTAGGACCTACCTGAAAGGGTTGTTTTGAGGTATTTTGAGAAGTGTGTAAAGCCCTTAGTTTAGCATAGTGCCTGGAACACAAGTCAGTGTGCTGGCTGCTTTAACTGTCTTTGTCCACTATAAGTTCCTCTAAGAAGGTGTATCTTCATATTAGTATCCTCAATGCTCAGCAAATGATAGGGGCTCAATAAGTGTTTGATCAACACAGAGGAGGCCTGCACATCTACAAGAACTCAATAGGACATGGACTCCTCTACCCCAGCATCTCCAGAAAACCAACCATCCCCGGTATCTGCAGACCAACAGCAGCTCATCCTCCTTGCAGCCTGCAAAAATGTCCTGAAAGGACCAAATCACTTCTGGGGCACCCCTTCTGCACATGATTTTGGAGGGGAAGCTGCCTGCCCAGCTTGTAGTAGATGGCTTCAGGGAAGTTGGCGAGTTCCATCTCCGTTTACCCTCCACCGAAGCCATCCCCTATAAAATAATAATACTCTTGGACGCTTTCTCCATTTTCTATAAAATATTAATAAAACCCTCCTTAGAAAACTTTGTTTTGGGGGGTCGGCAATAAAAATAAAAAAAGAAAACTTTGTGTTTTAATGGATATGAAACATAAAATGTAAGTTGTTGTTGTTTGAGATGGAGTCTCACTCTGTCACCCAGGCTGGAGTGCAATGGCACCATCTTGGCTCACTGCAACCTCTGCCTCCTGGGTTCAAGTGATTCTCCTGCCTCAGCCTCTCAAGTAGCTAGGAAGTGGGCGCCACCATGCCGGGCTAATTTTTGTATTTTTCTTAGAGACAGGGTTTCGCCATTTGGCCAGGCTGGTCTCGAACTCCTGACCTCGTTATCCACCCACCTCACCCTCCCAAAGTGCTGGGATTACAGGTGAGCCACCATGCCCAGTCTAATATAAGTTGTTTTTTTTTGTTTTTTGTTTTTTGTTTTTTTTGAGATGGAGTTTTGCTCGTTACCCAGGCTGGAGTGCAATGGCGCGATCTCGGCTCACCGCAACCTCCGCCTCCTGGGTTCAGGCAATTCTCCTGCCTCAGCCTCCTGAGTAGCTGGGATTACAGGCACGCGCCACCATGCCCAGCTAATTTTTTGTATTTTTAGTAGAGACAGGGTTTCACCATGTTGACCAGGATGGTCTCGATCTCTTGACCTCGTGATCCACCTGCCTCGGCCTCCCAAAGTGCTGGGATTACAGGCTTGAGCCACCGCGCCCGGCCAAGTTGTTTTTTTTTTTTTAAGTGCTTAAATACACAAAGCTTCGGAAGTCTCCTACCACCTTCTCCTCCTACCCTCAACAATTTCATACCAGAAATCAGCCCAAGTCCCTCCTATACTGATTTATGGAGCAACCTCAGACAGTTTCCTCCTCCCTCCAGTGCCAAGATTCCTCAGAGCCTAATTATTAAATAAGAGGTGAATTCTTTAAATACAGTTGGTGATAGAAGTAAATAATAACTCGGGCCAGGCGCGGTGGCTCACGCCTGTAATCCCAGCACTTTGGGAGGCCAAAGCAGGTGGATCACGAAGTCAAGAGATCAAGACCATCCTGGTCAACATGGTGAAACCCCATCTCTACTAAAAATACAAAAAATTAGCTGGGCATGGTGGCGCATGCCTGTAATCCCAGCTACTCA